ATTGCGGCACATTAGCTGTGTTTCCCACCTCTAGCTGACGAGTATAATGAAAGAATGAATACGCCAGATGAAAACTATCGAGAATACATCAGTTGGTAACCTTCAGTTCTTAATTTGACTCTCATATATGAACATTATTTACGAGTTGAAAAATATGGGATGATATGTCTGACGTCTATTTTATCCAAGGTAGCACGAAAAATCATGAAGGATGTCAGGTAAATCAGCCGAAGTAAAAAGAACTATCCTGACGTCTTCATAGCTCGGTTCTGCGGTAAGTCAATCAGGAATCCCCGAGCCGCTACTTATGAGGACTAAATGGGTGCAAGCCATGAATCCGTGGAATTTCGTCGATGAGATTTTCAGTTTTGAATAGGGTAACCGTGATGTCTTTCCCGTAGACAGAAGGAGAGTTGTTAGCGGTTAAAAGTCATCAAGAGGTGCGTCATTTGCTTAGAACATGAAAGAGGAGGGAATTAGGATGATAACCATCTGACTGACTGCTAGCCGTAGATTATGGCGGGTCCCAAAGAGCCATATATGGGCCTATCATATTCTTGATCAACGTAAGCGATCAATTTCGGCCTAGCAAGTTGCCTTTTTGCTTGTTTGCGGACGTTTTTGTATATGCACAGAAAGAACATTAAATCTGATGACTAAGGCCTGCTTAAGCAAGCGTTTGACCACCATTCCTTGGGGTCTGCATAAGTTCGTCTCACGGTCATCCAATCAAATCGGTACTCATGACCCTAGAGAATTTTGACAATCTGGGACCATCATCCTCAACACTTATGTAACTCAAACCAGAGTTATTTGTAGTTTCACGGTGCGAAGTGAAGGCAGCACACAATGCCAACGAACCACATGTTATCGGACTGTGCATACTCAGTGCGCAAAAACCTAGCTTCTGTACATATCCCAGAGCGGTTGGCTTTCCGCACTACTGTTGCATCATGAGACTAATAATAAGATGCGTTTAGCCCATCTACTGATGTACTAAAGAATTAGATAGTTTAAACTGTGAGTAGCAGCTACATCGATAATTTACGTGCACAAGGTAAGAAAATTCGGTACCAAACATCATGCATAAATAGCATGTCCAACCATCTCCAAATGCACGACGCGACCGAAATTTACGGTGCTTTAAAATTCGACAACTTTACCAAGGTTATTTTGCTGCTGCAACCGCGAGGACTTTTCAAGACCCAGAACAACGGTACAAGCGTAAGCACAAGATTTGGAGCGATTAATATCTCCTTCGTTTTTCCCGTAGCCAATGGCGAATGTTTTGAAGCGTCAATCATAATACATTGTGGAAGAAAACTAGATGCCCCAGATTATCACGCATTTCGAACTATAGTTCAGGAGCGGTCAAATTTGAGGAAGTTATACTGAAGACAATGGGACAGTGGCACAATACGAGTCAAAACTAATGTTTAACAAGCCCCGTATCACGCATTACCCGAATTAGACTGGTTCAAAAATGTGACCCTTTACTGAAACGTGCATATGCATTCTAAACATAATATCCAGGTTAACATTCATGTATACTCATCCGTCCCGATTTCGTGGGGGTAAGTAAACACAGCTTTTGTCCGTCTTGCCACCATCTGATGAGCGGAATTCAAATCAAGTAATGCAAGTAGTGTCGAGGCGCTCTTTACAAATAAGTGAAAAAGATGAAGATATGGCAGTCGGATGAGTGTATCAGGCCTACAAATTCTAAAAGGCCAGTTATTCCGGCAGCATCCCATATAACCGTATTGGGTGCCCAGTTTCAGCTGGAGCTTAATCGTTTATGCGTGGCAGCTAAATTGCAGGTGGCGGTTTGCATGAAGGAGGATATTTAAAATCAATACTATATAATTTGGTTACTCTCAGATGACGGTAACTTCCGTTTGACGCACTCAGGTTTTTCAGTCTTAGTTGCTATGGCGGGTGGAAAACGTCCTTCACATTTTTGCTTGCTGTGGGTATTCCAGTGCATCCAGATTTCGTTTTAACCAGGAATGAGAGGCCTGAATGGCGTATCCTAAATGGGGCCTCATATATCCATTGAGCATTTCTGGGACGACGGATCGATTGAACCGCCCGATCGCCCTCTGTATGAGACCATGTTGCTTCTGCGATTCGAACCCCCCCAAAGACTACGCCGAATAACAGAGATCGTTTTGTGTCACCACTTAAAACTTCGCATTCTCGTGAGGCAATTTTTAAAATGTGGTCTCCAGCCTTAACTCTGTCTGTGCGCTCGTAAGGTACGTGTGCTCTTTTAAACCTAACAGCGTTAAACGGTAATAGATTGGTCTTCGATCTTTCAAAAGCAAGCCTAACATTCGTTGCTGCATATCCTGAGCTTGAGGATTACCGATTGCCAGCCATATATTGATCAAGAGAAAAAGGCAAAAACTGCGGCTCAGTGGCGCGATCAAGGTCGTTGATGGAGACAAAGAGTAGCGCGGCCGAAACACTTAATCTTGTAGAACACCATAGTTCAACTTACTAGGATCGGGCAATGAGCTCATAACCCGAGCCCGAGAACGTTGCTGAGGAAAGAAATATGCCATCCAACCAAGGACATGTCTATTAATTCCGAATTGTTGCAGTTTTTGGAAAAAGTTTATGTGAAATAAACGACTGGAGATGTTAGAAAATTATCAGTTAGTTGATAGTGGTTCTGGTCTAAATATCCGCCGTTTCCATCCATCTGCACACGCAATCACGAGGCGGGTATCACATGAACTATGTTGACGGAAACCAGTGTTGTTTTTGCGCTTTGAGGTTAGGTATTTGTAATTAGCCCAGTTGTGTCCCAGCTGAGATATTATACGTAAATGCTGCCTTATTACTGTGTCCTATATCAGTAGACATCACGCGAGAATATGAAAATTGAAAGATGAACATTTTTTGGCCTTTCCGAGCAAATTTCGATGAAGTTTGACGCATCGTACTCCTTAGCAAACCAAAGAAAGCTATACTTATTTTGTGTAATTGATCCCCGAGCTTGACGCCTAAACTGCAACCGATTTATTACCAGACCACTAGCATCATCAGTGAAAATGTCTCCGGGAGTTTACGTTTGTCCATCTAGATGCCTAAGGTAGATTACATATAGAAGCAGATTATTATGAACATCAGATATATAGCAAAAGTGATAGATTGAGCGTTGTATCGCAATGTCACAAGTAAATATCTTTTTCTCAAACTTATTGACTAGTTGAGCATAAAACGGGCATAAAGATTGGCTATCGAATTTTCAATAGTCCCCAACGGACGGAGATGAGATTTTTAACACACTATGTTGTAAACGAAAAATCTCAGATAAATTATTCTGTGAAAAAATAATGGATTTTATGATCATGTCCCTAAATGAAAAAATCAGCTGCCTGGGTGGCTTTCCCCTCAGCAAGAGTGAGCGATGGACTACAGTTGAACCCGTCGGCACAGTGGAGGGTCAGCCGTCCCATTTTGTAGTGTTTTCTGCTCATTACATAAACAGAAATGACAACGAATCGTATCTTATTAGTGTGTATGACAATGTTACTCGCAAAGTCATTAACTCCACCGGCCATTACGTATAACCATTATCTTTGACAATACCGTCTATCCTCCCTGCTGGTCTGCCCGAAGGAATGACGATGAGCGGTCGATTTGTGCGCCTACACGTCCCCGTAAAGAATTTCCATCACATCTGTCAAGCACAGTAATGCATCGTGACCATGAGAATCGATCCGCACAGAGAACGGATGATCAATTTGCTCAGAAATTATTATCATTCCATTTGTTAAGGTGATACTAGAAAACGTCTTATATGAGTGACCGTTTTGTGACCTCATTCTTCTCACTGTACAGCTAGGCGCAAACAAATCTGTTACACAGGGCGCTGCATCCGAAACAGTAGCATAATCCAAGTGATAACTCATGTAGTGTTGGAACCGACTAATTCATCCCGAAGAGGCAAAGCTGAAGAATTTCTAACACCGAAACCATTTTCCAGTGTGACTCGTACCCGCTGTGCAAACCCCGTCTGTATTGATAGCAAATGCATTCCGAAAAATCTATTGCACAATTGCCATTGGGTGGCCGATTTGTGGGGGGAATTTTCCATCTGGGATGAGTGTGGACAGAAACTGTTACCACTCACACATGACTGAACGTACTATTTATTGAGGCGGATCAACGTGCAGATTATGGTCAAGTAATTCAACTTGACTCCACATCCGAAATGCAGAGACACTAGGTTCATTTATCAGAACTTCGCAGCACACGCATTATATGGTTCATTAACGTCAACAGTCAATGTCGGTGATTGCCAGGGAAGATAACAGTGGTTTACCGTATCATAAATTACACGCATCATAGGTGCTACCCGCTGCTGGAATTGAACAATAACACTAGCATTAGAGCTGACAAAAATATATTGCCAACTGGAATTCTGTCGAAATTTCTTCTCTCATCGGGTGTAAGTCATGGAAGGATTTCCCCCTCCCCGCAAAAATAACCATATTTAAAGAACATGAGTGGGAATTGTCCCAATTTCATTTGATATTACAAACTGAGCTATCTAGGCGACGAGATAGCGCAGTGTTTTTCCAATGTTACAAAAAGGTAAAGTTATATTTTTTACCACGCAAGTATATTGGCTCATACGTTCATGTCAACAGGAAAACTTAGGTGCTTCCAACAAACAAATGTTCATATTTTATGAAGTTCCCATTTTTATCTATTTCACAGGATTATTTATCACATATCTCTTTGCCTGTAATATACCACTGTTCCATTGTTCAAAATTAATATTCTCTAGAAACGCATTAAATTCCAGCCCAATGTGAGCATCAGTTGATGAAGAGTGATTAAGTTACCGGGCCTTTTCCCTCACCAGAATACATCGACTGAATGAACGTAGCACTAGCCTTATAAGCTGCACAAAATTTAAATTTAAATTTCTATCAGGCTGATAGTGTACAACGCGATGAGCCACTTACATTGGACCAACTTACCGAATTTGTGAACAAGTTAAAACATCTTGCTGCACATTGGGCCTCACTGACCAAATCCATCAAGTCGGCTCGTAGGTAGGAAATGCTGAGAATTTGTCCAAACAGCACTAGAAGGCAGGAATAAGTTTGCATTTCGCGCTGTTCGAGAACGAATCGTTCACTCGTCCCACCAGTCTTGGGATTCGGGATAAGTTAATTCCACTGTACACATCCGGTGCGGTGGTTCTCACGAAAGAGGTTAGTCAACCGTATTTTGGCACAGCACCTGTCGTTTGGTGTGCTAGAGGGAGAATTACGTGTTAACCACATGTGCGAACGCTGTGGTTGACTCTCCGAGAAATTCTCAGCCAATCAAAGATATCTAGCTGATTGTTTCAAGCTAGGTGGCCACCGATTGGCTGGGTGCAAGCAGGCCATTGCTGGGCCATGCCGCTGTGAACGATGTTCACGCGCTATAGGCGGTGTGGAACTGATCATTCTTTGTCGCATCCTCAGATGCGTCCGTGGTTTTACACTGGGAGGTATGCCAGAGGAAACCTGTTTGCTGAAGTTTAGGGAAAAAGTGTACTTGGTAACAATGCAGTTGGAAGTTGGTAAATGGCGTTGCAAACGATTAACCGAAGGATTTAGGTGGTATAGTTAGAAATTCATCACATATATGTTCTGTTCTGTAGCCATCACTTGCAAAGAAACACGTCGCATGACTGCGTCATCTTTTCGGGACGTTACATTGCTCCTACCAAAATAGGGCGTTTCATGTGAATGAAATGCCATTTCTAGAATTGTTACCAAGATGGGGAGACAGTGCTACTTTGTCAGTAGTGGAGCCATGGGGCAACAATCTATGTCAGTCTTCCAACGTTTGATCTCTGGACCTTTGACACATTGCTAACTACAGGAATATGGTTTAATAAAATGCAATGTGGCGCGATGTCCTGAAAACGTTCGCGTATTTACTTTGAAGTAATACGTGTGTTCATTACTGCTATTAAAAATTGTAGGCTGTTGTATGTTGGTCGAAATGCAACCAATATTAAGGCTTAATGTGTGAGAGGAACTTATTTTCTACATGCATATCTGATATATTTGATATTTGGTGTTGTATGTGTAATGAGAATATACACATTAACACAGATAGGTTGTGGCAAAGGAGAGAAGGAAAGCGACAACTGTCCGCCATGATCAAGCAGTCGTACCTCGTTTCACACCGGAACACAGATAGTGACTAATGATGAAATACTTTCCGAAGGGAAGATTCTATTACTGTGTTGATGGTTTTATCAAACGGGATAAGTGAAGGAGGAGCATTTCTCGTGAAAGTAATTAGGTTCTTGACCCAGGAATTTTTGAAGTTTCCTTCATCTTAGCTGATATAAGAATGCTGCCAAAACTTTAAATGCTGCAAACTATATCAGAACAATTGCTGATATTTTACGCCTCCTTTATCTTCCCTTAAATGTATTTTTAATGCCAGAAAGCTGTCAAGATCCTTACTGCAAACAGAAAGAAACAAAGATTCTAACAAAATTTTCTCATTTGCATTTATTTTGGTTGAAGATTCATGAAATGCTAGGTATTGGTCATTGATATTCTGCGAATATATTAAACAATTTGGCACGTTGCCAGCCACCCACTTTCACAGAACCGAAGTGCAACGCACACTGCAGTCCCACGAAGGAAGCGAAGGTTTCTTTACGTAATTTAATGAACGCAGTGACATTTCGCAATGGGAGAACCAGCATAATGCAGTACATATCTGTAAAGATGGGTAAACACTTTCTATGCCGTCACCTAGATTCTCGAACGGTCGATTGTCCTGAGGCAGAAATATAATAAAATACAAAAAAATGATCCGTCGCTTTGTGCTTTCGATTTCTCGGTACCACGAGAAATATACCTTTAATTATTATTAATTATTTTCGCTTCTTCATTAAGGCCCGTTTGGAGATTTGGTGGCTCTTTACTTAGGGTAAGTGCTGATTTTCTCAACGGTTTTGATTATTGTTACAGCACCAAAATTATTTTCTGTCATTTGTTTTTCACTATCAGCGCAAACGTCGCAGTTTTCTCATGGGATTCTGTTATCATGCCTAAAATTATTCACGTTGTTGATCATCTTAATGCCACTAGTTTAATTCGGTAGAGTTTCACACAAAAGTGTATCTTCTTTCAGGGATAGCCAGTGCTTGTACCTTACAAGCACAACCATCAGAGCTGCATCTGTCGACTTATCCATTGACAGAGCAAAGTGCGCAAACCTGATGCGTGAGGTTAACGCCTCCTTAACAGCAGTTGTTAGTGTCATAATTCTTCCATCTCCCGTAATACTTGATAGTTGTTTTGCTGAATTTTCAGCCAGCATGCACATGATCACTTCGACTGCACATAGCTGGATAAGTTAATGGGATATGTTGTGAGATCCTTCTGTCAGCGCAATATCATAAGTAACCAAGTAAGTTGCTTCAGTAGCCTTCTAATTTACAAACTGCAACACGTAACACATATATTTTTAGGTGTTCGACTGTTCATCTCTCCTGCGATCTAAGCACTCCTTTGTCCCATTTTGCAATCTGCATGTCTTTTTCAAAATTTTTGCATAACTACAGGAACCTAGGGAATGTTTGGAAGCATTTTGTTCCACAAGACAGTGTGGGCAATTGTTGGGCTCCTCCAATCAAAAAGAAAGATAAATGTCTTTGTATTTGCGCGGCACTTCATGGTAAAATGCCTTCGGTTAACTGATTTTATGTTGCATGGCGTTAGCAGTAAAGCTACATCGAGTGTTTCAGTTTTTATATTCTCAAAAGGCACATTAACTGGCCTAACGATTGCAGATCTGAATCAGAGAACGTAAATTTCTGTGACACTTTTAATAGTTTCATACTTTAGCCAAAGGTAACTGTTGACCTTACGGGGTACAAATGCCGAAATGAAAATGAATGTTCCCACCGGAATTTGGGGACAGATCAGAAATTTGTTAAATATGATAAATCGGCTTTGCAATGAAGTATAAAATAAAGTAAAGCAAAAAGCTACCATTTTAACGTCGCAGGTAGAGTTTCGCTGTGGTTCGCGAAATCACATAAGCACACTCGTAAACACCGACATATCCACACTTTCTTTCTGAGCATCTGTGGTTGAAATCACGCCAATGAACCCCACTTTCCGATTGGCCGACTTCCGAGGATAGCTGCTTAAGAACTGACTTACACTAGGAGCCACATATTATTATTCGAGATTTCTGCCTCCTCCCAGTGCGTAATGATGGGTTAATGGGAGCATGCGTGGATGCAGAATGACGAATCCAGCCTCTACATATACGAACAAATGGAGATTACCAAAACTTCTTTTTTGACATCTGCAGCTTGGTTCCATCACATATTATTTCCTTGCCGAAACAAGCTTCCTTCTTAGAAGTAATGACTTTTACAAGGACCATACACAAGGCTAATGTTTACGGGGTTAAATATGGTTTAACAAATTTTGGAGTAAGTTGTTCATTAACATCCAAAATAAAACGAACACCTCTAGAACAATTTTTATCGATTATTACCTTTCGGAAAATCTCGAAGGTGTTTGCGGGCCACACTTTGCCAAGTACTGAGCCACAACAAAGAGAAGTTGCCCAAACGTTTTTATTGCAACATGGCATACAAAACATAATTTTATGTTTAATACGCATTGACAGATCCCTATCCCTTCTTGGCGTATAACCCTGCATAGTAATAATTCCCAAGGAAAAGTTGTTATATTTTTTCTCAAACACAATCGTATGACATGTTTATCAGACAGGAACTACCGTTGTCAGCATAAACTTTGAACAACCGTTGGTCCACTATACACGTATTCAATGAGTATTTGTATACTTTTTAAATGTCACGACTTTCATGGACAGTTTAAAAGTGGTGTTCAGTAAGGCTACAAAATGCAGAAATTCACACATCCTGTTATGTCACCGTGTGGACTAAAATCTGAGAGGCATTCTGCATAGCCATAAACAAATAAATTCGTTTCATTTGTTTCACATTAATCACACCACCTGTCATACTTAGCGTAATTCCTCTAAGTAAATCAATGCACCCTTCATCCCTTAAGGTAGGTATATTAAGAGCGATTTACATTTGAAATTCACTTTTGGTAATGTCCAATTCGTTGACAGATTATCTCAAAATTTGTTACTTTAACGGTGTGCAGTGCGCAACTGTAGAGGCAGCAAACGTTGCTCAATGCCTTCCAAGATATTCTAGTTACACGGATGACGTGGCCCGGGTAAATTAACGAACTTAAAAAGCCTCATAGTTAATCAAGGAATTGAAATGAGGTAAACAGCAATCCGTTTCGACATGAACACATCATGCTGTCAGATGATTTTGTGACACCAAGATTTATAGCATCTTTGAATGGTAAGTTGTTAGTCAAGTTTATGGTTAAGAGTTTCTCTCGCGAATTTCCTTGCGTGATTTCAACCCTTACGGTGTTGCTTTGCTTATAATTCTGTGGTTCAGTTTATACACGAATAATGCTCAAGCGCAAAATGAAATAATTAAAAAGCCATTAGTAAAGAATACGCATGATAACCACATCATTCCAGCGGTGTCATCATAAAGAACGCTGTATTACTTACGGTCTATGGGATAGGCAGACACTAAACGGTGACACAATATATATATATATTCATACATACATATATATATATATGTATATCACGTTAGCCGCGGCGCCACAGGTACCTTAATTTGACCTGAACTCCGTTTGTTAGCCTCAAGAAAGTTTCCCATCGGTGTTGTGGCCGAGCAGCCTTCACCACTGTCCAGGCGAATTCGTCGATTCTATTTGATGGTATTTGGAGTCAACATATTGTAATAGTTACTGTGGGAGTTCAGAAACATGAAGTGCTTCTGTTTCCAACACATTAATTTAGCACTCATGTGGATTACAGGTAAACGTATGGCAACAAATATATCATCTAGCAGGGATCGCAATACGCGTCGTACTGCCAAGCTTTTACATTGCGTGTCTGTGATACAAACAACTTTTCAATACCAAGCGCCAAACACCGAACACGGATTTGGAAGTTAGTTTATACTTTAGTATATAAATAACAACCTAGCTGCCTCAGGTGCCTGCATGAT